CTCCTGAAGGTAACACGACCACGACGACCTCTCCTGAAGGCAATACGACCTCTCCTGAAGGTACCTCTCTGAAGGAAACGAACAACACGACCACGACGACCTCTCCTGAAGGCAATACGACCTCTCCTGAAGGTAACCATCACGACGACCTCTCCCTGAAGGCAAACGACGACCTCTCCTGAAGGTAACACGACCACGACGACTCTCCTGAAGGCACGACCTCCTGAAGGCAATACGACCTCTCCTGAAGGTAACATGACACGAACCTCTCCTGAAGGACGACCTCTCCTGAAGGTAACATGACGATCTCCTGACGGCTGAAGGTAAATGACTACGACGACCTCTCCTGAACACCCTCTCCAACAACGACGACCTCTCCTGAAGGTAACATGACCACGACGACCTCTCCTGAGGGACGACCTCTCCTGAAGGTAACATGACCTCTCCTGTGACCTCTCCACATGACTACGACCTCTCCTGAAGGCAATACGACCTCTCTGAAGGTACATGACGGAAGGACACGACCTCTCCTGAAGGTAACATGACCACGACGACCTCTCCTGAAGGCAATACGACCTCTCCTGAAGGTAACATGACCACGACGACCTCTCCTGAAGGTAACATGACTACGACAACCTCTCCTGAAGGCAAAACGACCTCTCCTGAAGGTAACATGACCTCTCCTGAAGTAACATGACCACGACGACCTCTCCTGAAGGTAACATGATACGACAACCTCTCCTCCTCCTGAAGGACATGACCACTCTCCTGAAGGTAACATGACTACGACAACCTCTCCTGAAGGCAATACGACCTCTCCTGAAGGTAACATGACCACGACGACCTCTCCTGAAGGCAACATGACTACGACAACCTCTCCTGAAGGCAACACGACCTCTCCTGAAGGTAACATGACCACGACGACCTCTCCTGAAGGCAATACGACCTCTCCGACACGACGACCTCTCCTGAAGGTAACATGACTACGACAACTCTCCTGAAGGCTGAAGGCAACACGACGACGACCTCTCCTGAAGGTACTACGACCTCTCCTAACCTCTCCTGAAGGTAACATGACCACGACGACCTCTCCTGAAGGACGACTGAAAGGTCTCTCCTGAATACGACCTCTCCTGAAGGTAACACGACGACCTCTCTGAAGGTAACATGAACGACCTCTCGCAATACGACCTCTCCTGAAGGACGACCACCTCTCTACGACTTCCTGAAGGTAAATGACTACGCTACACGACCTCTCCTGAAGGGACCACGACGACCTCTCTGAAGGTAACATGACCACGACGACCTCTCCTGAAGACCTCTCCTGAAGGAATGCGACGACCTCTCCTGAAGGCAATACGACCTCTCCTGAAGGTAACATGACCACGACGACCTCTCCTGAAGGTAACATGACCACGACGACCTCTCCTGAAGTTAACATGACCACGACGACCTCCCCTGAAAGCAACACAACAACGACGACCTCTCCTGAAGGCAACACGACTACGACGACCTCTTCTGAAGGTAACATGACCACGACGACATCTGAAGGCAATACGACTTCCCCTGAAGGCAACACGACCACGACGACCTCTCCTGAAGCCAATACAACCTTCCCTGAAGGTAACATGACCACGACGACCTCTCCTGAAGGTAACATGACCACGACCTCTCCTGAAGGCAACACGACCACGACGGCCTCTCCTGAAACCAATATGACCACTACGACCTCTCCTGAAGGTAATATGACCACGAATGTAACTAAAACTGAAACTACAGCTCCAGTGTTAAAGAAATTTTCTAAATCTAAAAGGAACAGAAACCGAGAAAAAATACGCTTTCGACGATCAGTGAGGGAAGTGCCATTTGCTAGTATTGCTGATAAAAGCAAGTCACAACGAGATGAGTATGCTACACACAATTCACTAGACATGCAGCGCAAACAACGTAAACTGATCCCTGCCAAAGTTCTTTATCCCTCAAAGGGAGAGCCATTCTCTCTAAGAGAGTGGAACTCCACTCAAAGTCCTGTGTATTTAGCAGACGAACATCTTCGTGATCTGGCACACATCCTACAGACACTGACTACTGATCTCCAAGATGCTGTGAGAGAGGATGCAGGTCCATCCGAGTTTATGACTCTCGCGAATGATGAAGCACAACTCAGAACTCTAACGGCGACGCTAGAGAACTCAAACACCGTTATCAGCACAGAAGAAAAAGACCACCTCTCCCGACTGACCAATTTCACTCGCATGTCGCTCAGCATGGCCCAGGAAATCGTCCAGCTGCGACTGTCCACCATTGCAGAGGCCGGTACTATGCATGTGATCCTGGGTATTACAGTGAGTGGCTGCATCCTTCTCGTCACGATACTAGTATGGACGTGCTACAGACACAGAAGGGCACCAAGCAACACAGACTCGCGGGACAACCTCTCCTCAGAGCGAAATTTTGCCTCTCCTGCGACTTACAGCCTCTCCCGTCCGCTGTCGCAATCTTCCGTAATCCATTCTAGTAGCAGAGACTCTTCCGAAGTTCCACAAGCAGATTACGCAACGTCAGCCACCCCAGGCGGAGCAGAGTCTGGGAGAAGGGCTGACGCGATGCCTCTCCACCACTACCCCAGTGGAAGACCAAACGAACGACCTATATAATCATGTTGTATAATTATTCAGTAATGTTATTATTTTATATGGACGTTATGATGCTTATTTTAGTAAATAAATAGTTTTAAGTTAACGACCATTTCAATTTGAGATCTAAGCTATACTATGAATACATCAGAAAATCCAACTGGTGTATTCTCCATCAGTACGAAGCGTTTTACAGACAAAATAACTCGACAGAAAAAGGAGAGAAATTCAAAAAGGCGTTAGATATGAAAGGATGAAACTGAACCATGATGATTACTCATATCCAATAATGTTCAGTAATACGAAAAGTGGGAATCTGTTCAGTCCTTCACAGTAACAGTATAGCTACTCAAAATTGCTGCTGCTGCTGCTCATTATCGTCATTGTAAAGAGACTAGTACTGATATTACAATTATTAATGTTAGCTTTAGGAATTAATCTAGAACCAGTGATAAAAATGATAATAATATTAATAACTGTGTTAATGATAATGAAACTGGAAGAATAACAATGATACTGACAGTAATAATGCAGTATACAATTGTTAATAAACTCTGATCATAATAATAATGGTAATAATAACAATAAGGATAATAACGACATAATTCTAAACACCAACATGAAATGTCACTATAATGGCCTGTTAGTACGGACTAGATGATAACACATGACTTAAGAAATTGAAAGAGATTGAAATTCACTCCCAAATTTGCACGAAAATTCCTAAAAACTGTAGTGTAACAAAAAACAAACAAACTGAGTGTAAAAAAAAAAAAAAAAAAAAAAAAAACGAGTGTTAAGTGCTTCTCTATTGGTTACATGGATTTAGTATACTATACAAGATAGTTTTAGATTTTTTTCAATCCAAATGCCTTTTTTAAATATTTGCGTCGTGTCGGTGCCTTTGTGGTTGTTCATACTAAGATGTCTTTTGTTTAAAAAGTATTTTCTATCCTGTCGGTTAAATAATAAATTGAATGCCAAATTTAAAAAGTAGGTGTGTGTGTGTGTTTGTGTTTTATCTACCACTAAAATCTCAGTAATAACTTCACAAGCAGAGTATTTCAAAATATACTGTTATTAAAAAAAAAAGAAAATGGCAGAACAAAATAAAATCCAATGCTATTAACTGATTATATATTCTCTATGATATCATATACAAAATATAGAACATACACAATGAAATGCCATAATATCCATATACATAATGGTATTACATATATAAAAAATTAAAACCTATCATTCTACTAATTAAAAGGGCCTGAATGAGTCCTAAGCCCAATAGAGCCACCTGGTTTCTTCTTGCAGTCACATGAAATAGTCTCTTGTGATCTCTCTTATATACAGCAAAACCTTCATGAATTAAATGATGCTACACTTACACTTGCGTACTTTCCACGCACTTGAAGACATTCTCATGAATACCTCTCGGACGCACTATGTATATCTTTCTTTTCTAAAAAAGCATAAATAAAAACACATTGAGGAAATACGGGGACAAAGAACCACACTCCACCCGCGCGCCTTTGGTGGGAAAACGCTCTACTTCTTCAGGTCTCTGCTTAGCGGCGTCTGTGAGTTCGCCGGCGTCATTTTCAAGTTGGAGGAGGAGGGAGACGCTGTAGGATCTTCGGGGTTCTCACAGGGCCCGTCTATGCCCTCGAGCTTGGACTTGCGGCGTCGTTCGTACAGCCGCTTGCACAGGAGCGCCAGCAGGAGTGGGATTGGGGTGAGCGTGGCCACCGCAACTGGCACCACGACGGTGATGTCACCCAGAGGAGAGAATTTCTGGAGGGCGAACTGCGGGGGAAATAAGTAAGTTGAGTCTCTTCATTTCTAGTTTATTTTTCCCCGCCATTTTTCTTCGCATTATGCATAAGTCTCTCCTCAAAAATGGATCGGAACGAGCACATCCAATCTAGGTACTTCTCCCACATCACCCAAACCCTAAACCTTAACCCTTCGTTGAAATACCACGCGACACTCACCTTAACGACTCCTATAGCAAGGCCGGTGTTCTGAATGCCCGTTTCGATACTGACGGCGATCACCTCCTCGAACTGCCTTTTGCACAGCACAGCCATCACTGCCCCGAACAGGAACCCCAGCCAGGGAAGAGCCATGCCCACTATGGCCACCTATGAGGGGGAGGGAACACCATAACTACATACAGTTTGCGATTATTCCAGTACATCTGGATTTTTACCTAAGCAGCGATGAAAAATTAATAATCCGGTGTTACTTCACCCACTTCCTCACAAAAACTAGGACTTAAAGGGACCGTCTTTTTTTGTTAAAATTGTGCGAGGCCCGACCCAATGAATATTCGTATATACAGACATGCATATACATAGAAATGAATGCGTATCTGTTTATATGTCTGATAGATATACATTTATCTATATATCTGCCCGGTTGATATGCATGTCTAGACTGATAAATGTGTATTTATTTCTTTATCTGTGCATATCAAGTATAAGAATATTCTTTAGGTTGGGCCTCGTACAAATTTAACAAACCGGCCGATAGACCTATATAGGTAATGGACATTGACAATGATAATAATAATAACAAAATCAATAATACCCTAAATTGCAAGACAACCGAAAATTGTAATAATAATAATAATAATGCCAATCATAATAATAATGACAAAATAGCAGTATTAGTAACAATGACAATAACAATAAAAACTATACTGTTAATACTACTAATGATGGTGTGAATGAAGATGAAAATAATGATGGTGATGGTGATGATAATAATAATAATACCAATTTAATAAAAACAATAACAATAGTGACATTCATAACAATGATATTTATAATAATTATAAGATGATAATGATGATGATGATAATAACAATAAGAAGAATCCTAATGATAGTAATGGCAAATATAATAGCAACAACAATACTCATAATAAATGTATTATCGTAAAATAACAACAATAACAATAATAATAACAGTAATAATAAATAATAATAATAATAAAATAATAATAATAATAATAATAATAATAATAATAACAATAACAATACAATAATAATGATAACAATGATAATAATAATACAAAAATATTGATAATAATGATAATAAGCAATTATAATGATAATAGCAATAACATCATTATTATCACCATTAATTATAACACTAATGATAATGATAATAATAATTATAATAATATCAATAATACTAATACTAATGATTATAATAAAATTTTTAATAATAATGTAAAAATGAGGGTAAAAACAACAAAAACAAAAAGAACAAAAATAATCATTATAATGACAATAATAACAATCATAAAAACAATAATAACACTAATAAAAATAATAATAACAATAAGAAAAACAACAATAAAAATAAATAAATAAATAATAATAATAATGATGGTGATAATGATGCTAATAATGATGATAATAATAATAATAATAATAAAATAATATAATAATAATAATAACAATGTTCAAAAGGCCACCAACTGTGATATTCCAAGCTTGCATTGGTTGCAAGATGTTTCAAAATATTTCATTCTTATATTCTTGAAACCTTGAGATGTTGAAAATAACAATTGCAACATCGTAACCGGTGATCGTGCAAGTATGACATAATGGGAATTAATAATAATAAAGAAACGATCAACAAGTCTAAAAGAAATAATAGTAATGATGATGAAATTGTCATAAAGCAATAAAAGAGAAATTACGAAAAAAACAACAGCAGCAAGAATGAAAACAACAGACGAAGTGTCAGCGCATTACTATCCTCACTTTTCTTTTTTTTATCATGGTGAAGGTGCGCATGGCAGGATGGAAAAGGCTAGATCAGTAGTAACTCGAGGTGGTGTCATGGCGTCTTTTTTGATGATTGTTTAATGAAAATATAACCATTAAAATCATTATTTTCCATCCTTTTTGAAAATTGAAAAGACCAAAATCACCGACCGTATTCACAAATCATCCATAACTTATGTGACGTCATCAAAATAAACCCCCATTTGCTTTTTCCAAAAAATAGATTCGGACGCCATGACACCTCTTCGAGTTGCTACTGATCTAACCTTCCCCATGGCAGGATGGAGATAGATGCTAACGGATTGAGAGATTGGTGATGTTAAATATTTAATAACTGAAAAGAATGTGACGATAAATATTCAACGACTGGCAAAATTGTGGTGAAAATGATTTAGCAACTAACAAAAATGTGATGATAATCAATAAATGATTCATAAATTCATGCTCATAATCATTCTAAATACAACGATATTAGCCAGTTCTATAGTTACCTTCCAGGTGAAGTAATAGAAAATATAAAAATTGACGTAGACGCCGAAGGTGCTGGCGAAGATGATGAAGACAACAGCCACGGGCGTCAGCAACTTCTTAAGCACCCCGGCCACCTTCGGCAGAAACTTCTTCAGGGCGACCCCGATGGCGCAGGGCAGCACCAGCCCCACCACCATCACCGCCATCTTCGAGTACGGAATGTAGTCGAAGTTGCCGTCTGCGGAAGGGGGAGAGGTTAGCAAGAGGCTAAGAGGAGGGGGGAGGGGTTAGTAGGAGGCTAAGAGAAGGGGAAGAGGGGATAACTGGAGGCTAGGAAGAGGAGAGGGGATAGAGGGTAATAGGAGGGGGGAGTGGTTAGCAGGAGGTTAGGAGGAGGGGGTATGTTAAGGTGCTAATGAAATAGCTGACCGCTATGTGTATGTGTATGTGTGTGCGTGAGAGAGAGAGAGAGAGAGAGAGAGAGAGAGAGAGAAAGAGAGAGAGAGAGAGAGAGAGAGAGAGAGAGAGAGAGAGAGAGAGAGAGAGAGAGAGAGAGAGAGAGAGAGAGAGAGAGAGAGAGAGAGAGAGAGAGAAGAGAGAGAGAAGAGAGAAAGAGAGAAGAGAGAGAGAGAGAGAGAGAGAGAGAGAGAGAGAGAGAGAGAGAGAGAGAGAGAGAGAGAGAGAGAGAGAGAGAGGAGAAAGAGAGAGAGAGAAGAGAAGAGAGAGGAGAGGAGAGAGGAGAGAGAGAGAGAGAGAGAGAGAGAGAGAGAGAGAGAGAGAGAGAGAAGAGAGAGAGAGAGAGAGAGAGAGAGAGAGAGAGAGAGAGAGAGAGAGAGAGAGAGAGAGAGAGAGAGAGAGAGAGAGAGAAGAGAGCAGAGAGAGAGAAGACAGAGAAGAGAGACAGAGAGACAGAGAAGAGACAGAGAGAGACAGAGACGAGAGAGACAGAGACAGAGAGAGAGAGAAGAGACAGAGAGAGACAGAGAGAGAGACAGAGAGAGAGAGAGAGAGAGAGAGAAGACAGAGAGAGAGAGAGAGAGAGAGAGAGAGAGAGAGAGAGAGAGAGAGAGAGAGAGAGAGAGAGAGAGAGAGAGAGAGAGAGAGAGAGAGAGAGAGAGAGAGAGAGAGAGAGAGAGAGAGAGAGAGAGAGAGAGATTCAACCATATATGTTCAACCAAGCTATTGCTCGATATTCAGGAAATTTACATTGAAATATGCAAAGCAACCATCTTCTCTGACTATTTTCTGTCAGTGAATTCCCGTTACTCACTTCAATGAGTCACTCAGCATTCTGTTTTGGATCGATAACGGTTCGTTGCCATAAGCTCGTCTTTTCAGGGCCTTATATCAACCCTATTTATTGATTTAACTATCTAATGATTTCTGTAAGGGCTTGAAACATGGATATATATTTTTTTTCAATAGAGTTACACGGCACTCCCTCATCATCATTATAAAGAGTTCGCAAAACATCATTTTTTTCAAGTGTCTCCAACGTTTTTTTCCCATAGATCTTAAGAATATGACGTCGCCAACCAACTAATATGGAGTAAGAACATATTACACAAGTGTAAATAACATACATATGTGCTGTTCAGGTGGTTAAAATTACCTCTGACCACTACATCTAAAGAAAATCACACATATAGGCCTACTTTTGCGTGCATGAATTGGGCTAATGAATATATATTTCTGAAGAAAGCGCCTATGGATACTCATGAACCACCGTTGTTTTTAAAAAATAATTTGTCCTTGACTGCAAGCACCTTCGTAATGTTGTTGTTATTTTCTCGCCAAACTCATATTTGTTATGTAAATAAAGAAAGTAACGAAGGGAAGAGGCATGAAACACGAGTTTTTCTCACTTCTTGTTTTAATAAACAAAAAGGCTTTCCGGTATTTTCGTTTGTACGTTCTTACTTATGAAAGCTCTATAGGGAAAAAAAAGGCTTAAAGTACATTATTGCGTTTTCCTGTTCTTCCCTTCGCTGTTTTATACACACATTGTTTAGCATCAAGCTTACACATTTTTTGTCAAGTAGCTCTACAGGCAACGATTTTCGTGGTGCTTTATCGTGAAAACGGAGAGCAAATATTTGGTTTATATTCTGTCTTTCCACAACGTCCCGGAACAAAAATATTTACCACAGTGATAAGAAAGCTAAAAGATAAAACTGAATTATACTTTCGAAAATACCTTGAAAATATCTTCAGTACACATACGTAAAGGCAAGCAATCTCTCACACTCACACTCTCTCACTCACTTCTCTCACAGTCACAGTCACAGTCACAGTCACACAGTCACACTCTCACTCTCACTCACACACACGCACCACACACACTCACACATCCACACAACTCACCCCCACATCCCACCCCCCACACCCACCCACACCTCCCCCCACCCCCAAACACCCCCCCATCCCAACCTAACCTTGGAAAATGGTGCTGGCGAGAATGTACACCCACATCGGCAAGGCACCGAAAGCCACCACGGTCGACACGAAGGTCATGGTGACGGAGAGGTCGAGGGAGCCGCCCAACACGTGCGTCCAGATGTTAGAGCCTCCCCCGCCAGGAGAGCAGCCGATGATGAAGAGGCCGAGCCACAGCGCCGGGGAGTCGTGGAAGAGGAAGTATCCCAGGGTGTAGGACGTCTGGCAAAAAATAATAATTAAATGATAATATTGGTGATTGATGAGAAAAAAACTAATAACAACAACAATAATGATTAATAACAACAACAACAACAACAACAACAACAACAACAATAATAATAATAATAATAATAATAATAATAATAATAATAACAATAATTCACAATAATAATAATGATGAATAATGAGAATAATAACTAACAATAACAATAATAGTAATACTACTACTACTAATAATAATAATAATGAAAATTCACATTAACATTAATGATAATCAATGAGAATAATAACTAATAACTAATAACAATAATAATAATAAAGGAAAAATAATGATAATAATTCACAACATTAATAAGGATAATATTAGCTATGATAAAAATAACAGCAATAATAACACTAATAATAATCATGATGACGACAATAATAGTGAAAATAACAA